TTTGCACATTCAGGCTTGAGAAGCACTGACCTAACCTATCACTCATTCTGAAAGAGCTATTTAAAAAAATTCCTCAGTGATTTGGTTAAAAAAAAAAATAAGAACAACAACAACAACACTCCCAACAAATACCCGAGGGCAGTGACTCTTCACCTAAGCTACACAGGGAGCTTGCAAACAGTAGGATGGTTTTGTGCCGCATTCCAAGAAACTCTGATCTGGTGGGAGTGGAGGGTGGGTGGGGTACGGCCTGGGCATTAGCATTATAAAGTGTAATCAAAGTTCATAATCACTGTCTTAGGACTGGATATGCTGCTTTTAAGTTAAGACCCACAGGAGGGAAAACAGGCTGAACTGAGCATAAAGGATTTTCCTAAGCGTAGAAGCAGCAAGACAGGTGGGCCACCAACTAGATGCATGTCCCTAAATATGATTCATATTTGCTGACATCTACTTATTCAGGGACTATTTATTATATGGTAGGCACCATACATAGTGTCTCATTTAATCCTTATAACAACATTATGAAGTAGTACTAGTATTCTCTCCATTTTAAAGAGGAGAAAAAGTACGTAGGCACATGGAAGTTAAATGACTTGGCCACGGTCACTGTAAAGTTAGTGAGACCAACTCCAGAGCCTGCATTCTTAGCTACGCCATTCAAATCAGGAGGTCCTAGGTTAAACTAAAAAAGCACAAAACATTAAAAAATCTTTAGGTCAAAATTATTAGGCAATTGTTTTATTGTGGCTGCCTTCTTTAATAAAAAACTCACAAATTAAAGATGAACAAAGGGACATTTACTAAGTTGGTATATAGAATAAACAACAGGAGGAAGCATAAAATATCCTGATATTTCCATGGTTTTTCTCAAAATAATGCACATCACAGTGAGTGCATACCAAAGCTGCTCAGTGAAATTAGAACTCAATGAACAAGTTAATAAATGTGATTAATCAATGCAATTTCAGTTAATCAATTTCAATTACTGAAAAACCAAGCCTGAGATTTTACGTGAGAGTGAATATAGCCAAAATCTGCAAATTAAGGTTATAATGTATAAACTTCAAGTAATAACATTCTTCAGATGTGGAAAATTTTAATTCAGTGGCTCAGAGATTGGGAAAATGCAGAAATCTTTAGGTCAAATCAATAGTTGAACCTTTACCTCTTTGAGGTGGACGGCAAAGAAGCCATCGTTTTGTGAGCTCATCGATACTTTGGTCACATCCACCAAGGGAACCTCTGATTTGATCTGCCCCGACTTTTGATCAGCAAGAAGGAGATTATTATTTGTTAAGAGGAAAATCCGAGATGTGCTCTAAAACAAAACAAATAAGGATGTAAAACCAATGATCAAAAATACCCCAAGTGGGTCCATGAGTTTTAAAGCATTCGTTATTTGCAGAAATGCCCATTTGATTCCGTATCTTTCAGCACACATACCTAGGTAAACTGAGAACACACTAAAAACATAGACAATAGATCTTAAGTCATATAAGTTTCAGAGAACAAGCAAAATTCCACCTAAACTTAAAGGTAAGGGGAAGCAGCTCCCTTTATAGGAACTCTGCTGAGAATATGAAAGGCAAATCGGAATAATCAGAAAACGAAAGATGACTGTCCCAACTGATAAACACTTCTTACAGGTCTTCAGGGTTAGCATTTTTACCTTCCCATTGGCACGGTTAATTTTGTTCACAACTTCAGCAATGATAATCTTTTCTTCAATGGCATCCTTGAGTTTCTTATACTTGGGATTCTTGTTGATTTCCAGGTAAGCTCCTTGGAATGGCTGCCCAACGCTATAGGAAAAAATTCCCTCACATTAGAAACAGTACCGGATGGAGGCATTACTGGAGAAAGGTAACACGTCAGCTGATTCTGAAGCACATAACTTCATCAAAGTTAATTTTATCCATTTTATTCGTGTCCCAAATACAAGTTGGAAATGAAACCTGGAACCTACTTTAAATATACTTTTGATGGGATCATGGCATTTTGTAGGTAGCACTTTGATAAAAATCTTATCGTATGGAACAATCAAGCTAGAAACCAGTCACAAGAAAGAGTCAGGACCCACGTGCATGATCTCATGTGAAGGGAAAGGCAATTCCTTCTAATCTGGTAATAGAAAGTTAACAGCTGCCCACAAAGGACTTTTAGTGCCTTTCAACAATATGTGGCAATGGAAAAAAGGGCACAGATCATTACCAACACCTGTTTCAAAGGGAAACTTTATTTTCTTGCAGAGAATAAGAAAACCAAGAGGCCGTCCAGGGGAGCATAGATCCAGAGCGAGCACTTTAGAAGAGAACTACAGAGCACTTAATACTATCATGTGACTCTGGCTCTAGATCAGGCCTTTCCTCCAAGGACATGCCCCTAAATGGACAAGGTAAACATTCAGAACCAGAGCGGTTTTCTTTCAGACAAACTCCATCTTGCGAGCAGCACAATCATGTACTAAGATGCCCATTTCCCTAAAGGCTTGTGGGGTGACGCTTTCAGGGAAGCCTCTTCCAAGACACCAAAAAAAACCCAAAAACCCCACACATACACACACACACAAAAACCACCCAAAAAAAACAACCGTGGCTTCATTTTGAGCTATAAAGTTCTGGCAATTTGCAAATACAACTTTAAATGCTTGTGTTGTGGGTGGAGGATCAGGGAAGAAAACTCCACGTAGGTGGTCAGTGTTTAATGGCTCCCAGCATATAAAAGGCTGACACCCACCACAGTGTGAGGGTGTCACTATTCCTCCCCTCCGACTACTGCCGGCTGAGCGCACCACCATCCCTGAAAATGGACAGAATTACCCCAGAAGGACTTGGCTTGACGTTAGTATTTGTTTCCTGTTGTTCACATTCAAACATGTTTTTAATAATAAAAAGTGCTAAGAGCCTTTGAATTTGTTTCTTCACAAATGTATTTTTCTCTTTCCAGTTTCTGAAGTGTCATCCACAGGGAATGTTAATTAAGACAATTACTCTACAATTTAAAAATCTATAAAGAAAAAGTTAAATGAATTAGTTGCTGGAGAGAGTATATAGGCCATTTTCACGTCTGAATGTGCTTTATATAGCAGGCACTTTGGACAACTTTGGATTTAGATGCTACGTTCGACTCAAAGGGAGTACAGACCATCAGCTGACCCAGCAAGTTGGGTCATTTAAAATATTTAAACCACATGAGCCTGGCAACAATGTTTATTTCAACTTTTCAAAGGAAGAGCTTTCAATTGTGTGTAAAGACACTGAGAATATAAACACAGCATATGTAATACATGTGAATATACTTAGCATATAATGCTTTTTCATTTCTAGGCCATCCTTTGGGAGAAGCTAAAAGTTGTTAGAGATTTGGCTTGAAATTGTCCAATCTAACTTTTTTTTTTAGAAACATTGGATGAAAAAGGGGTATGAACTCTGGGGGAGAAATGATGAACTTGGGAGATGTAAGGATATTCAGGTAAGCGGTCTTTACCAACGATTTCACTTGGCAAACTTAACAACTGGTGTTCCTTCTTTTATTGAGCACTTGGTGTCTACAATAAAGGAACAGATCTGACTGCACAGGCCCCTAACATCGTACCCAAGGACTTAGCCAAGCGAAGGCCATCACAGACCAGGACTGCGGCAATACTCAGAGGGTGATGGGTCACTCTTCATTATCATGCAAATGAGCCTGACCCAGCTTGTTCGAGTAAGACTGGAATGGGATGACAGTAGATTGCCCACAGAAACTGATCCCGCAGGTCTCTGAAAACAATGGAGAACTAACAGGAATTTACAATGTAAATTTATCTTAATAGCCTATGTAATTTGTATTTTAAAGGACAACTTCTAATTATTTAGAGAAGTGTTCAGGCTAACGCCAATGAAGTAAAACCAACAAATGTAATCTCATTTCATTAAAGTATGCTATGAAAGCCATTGCCCAAAATGTGTTTATGTATATTCATATCCAGCTGATCATAAAATAATTCATAAAATTAAAAACCTCTCATGGATTACTAAAATCAAACTCAGCTAGACCTACAAATACATTTGAGAAACTTTTAAAATGCTGACTTTTATGGGTAAAGCAAAGCCATAATACCTAGATGGGTATAAAGCCTTCTTGTCTTTGAAGAGTTCACTGGCTTCTAGTTTTTCTTCATAAATAAGTTTCTGCTGGTCTGTGAATTGGTCCCTGTATTTTTTACACTGTGAGAAATGAAAAAGGGGGGGGGAAAAGATAATCACTTATATAAATAAATCTTTATTCATTCTTAAATATGCTAAGTCCATTTAACAGCATCAAGAGTAAGACTAAATGTGTACAAATACCCATTTAAAAAACCAAGAGCATTTTTCCTTTCTGGGTTTTAAAAGGTCGGTCTTAGAAAATGTCATAAAAACTATTGTTTGTATTGTGGAACTTGGGATGCTTCTTCAAAACACACAGGGCCTTGCTGCGTGGGTCCTGCTGGGAGTACTGATCCTCCCACTATGATGTCAGCTTCCCCCCAATCCTTTAATCCTTATTAGTCTGTCACACTCTTTCACAAAGACCCGCAATAAGAACAACACTGTACATTACAACTCACTGCACACATTTACACACACACAGACAGACAACGGACACAAAAGCTTCATAAGACAATACTTTCAACACGTCCTGTACCCCATTATTTTTATTCTACCATATTTCATTTTACAACCCTGGTCAGTGATCTACTAAAAATTGATTTCATGACTCACAAACATGCTACAACCATTGGTTGGAAAAATCCTTCTCCGCACCCCCCACTACCATCTTAAAGTGTGGACATGGGACCTGAGAAGTCTCCCTTCCACCTGGATTCTGAGATGGCACTGGAGACAGGGGGTGGCTGGAGGGGCAGGCCGGGTTTTTAGATGAACTCGAAGAAATTCAGGTACAAATGCAGCTGAGAGCCACCGACATAATTGTATAAAGGCACGTCAGCATTGTTGGCCGCCCTTTCAGGACTAAACACATCACTCTCATTCTTTACCCCCAACGCAAGGGAGGTACGGGCAAGATTCAGGGGCCAGGAGCCAGTGGGGAGCAGAGGCAGAGCAGACCCCTGGCATGAGAGGCTCCCCATCGTTATTCCTGAAAACAGTTCCACCGTCAGACTCCAAAGGGGGGAGATGAGCACGGAGACATGATGCATCTCACCGAAGTGATTCACTAAGCGAGGGGACGGAAGTGAGAGTCTAGTTCCACATGCTGAGCGGGTACCAATATGACACTAATCAGTGATAATGTCACTCTGCATATGTGACTCTGGTAAGGGACAAGCCTACAGTGCCCGGTAGGAAAGAGCTTCCTGGGAGACATGTCCATCAATCATTCACTTACTAACTAGAAGCCCTTCGACCAATGATACTTGTACAGAGCTAGCATTTAATACATCAACTGACCAAATTATTAAAATAAAGTCAACATCTATATAAGTATCCCATGTACTCATGCTAGGCAACACCTAAACAAAACAGGATGTTTTCATAAAATTAAGGAAGCTAAATTATAAGCCATTATCCAATAGATTTCCAGCTTCCCTTTAATTCAGGTAGAGGGAAACTTGAATCTCTCGAATGTCTCGTGAGGCACTCTAAAGCCTTCTCCTCCAGTCCATCAAAAGGTGGGCACCTTCTCACGAAGGTATCCAATAGGTCTCAGAAAGCAATCTCTTACGATCTGCAGGATTTCACTACCTCGGGTGAAGATGTTCAAACTGTATTATCCTATCTCTGGCAGTATTCCTTCAGATAAAGATGAAAAAAAGAAACAAAGCAAAACAAAACAAAAACCTGAACTCCTTTAAAGCAACTGGAATGTGGAATGAAACCACACACTCTCCGCTCCAGCCAAGGGTGAGAGGAGACAGCCACGGGAGCTCCTGGCTGCTCTGGGAATTCTCACAGAAAGCCAAGTACAAGGCATGGTTCAAAAACACCGCAGTCCTCAGGTGCAGCTCCTCGAGGCTACAGGAAGAATGTGGTTAAAGTGTGCTTTTACTTAACACTTCTCAAACACTCAAAATACACGGTAAGGAGTCTCTGGAAAAAAAAAAAAAAACCTAACAAGGCATTTTTTACCCTCCACAGGTGGAAAATCCTTTTTAGCTCCTTGTGAGTAGAATCCAAGAATAGGTAAGGTCTTGGTGGCCAGTTCTTGTCAATTGGGGATAAGGAAGGCATCTTATTTTTCATTTCCAAGAAGTATTTTTGCACCTATGTTGGATTTGACAAAAAAAAATGCCAGATGAGTAAAATATGCCAGGATCAAACAGACCAGTCTTTAGTGGAATTTAGCAAGTTTTAGGTGATACAATGTTGTATTTCCTCTGGAAAATCTCTTTTCTACTCTCTGTCTTGGTTGGGAAAATCAAAGCTCCACTAAATGGTTAGGGGAAGAGAAGAATGCTAACACTAACACTAATGTTAATATTAACATGAATACTTACACTAGCTAACACTGGAAAGCTGCATCGTTTAAGAGGTAGCCACTACCCACATGTGGCTGTTGATATTTAAATCTTAAGTAATTAAAAAAATTAAAAATCCAGTTCATCAGTCATATTAGTTACATTTCAAGTTAGCCACACGTGGCTAGAGTCTCCTCTATGGTACCATGAGGATATAGAACATTTTCATCACTGCAGAAAATTCTATTGGGCAGCACCACTCTAGACTACTGGAGATGGGCCAGCACTGTAAGAGCTTTCTACGACCACAGATGACAAAGTGAGGCTCACAGAAGCAATCTGCTCACGTCACAAATCTGCACGCGGCAGAGCAAGCTGGCTCCAGAGCCTGCACTCTCCACCACTACAGACACTTGTCTGGAAGACAGAGGGGAATGTTGGACCCCACCCTGGTTGAGTGGCTCAGCCTGGCTCTCCTTCGCCCCTCCGCCCACTGCCTTGTTTGCCGCAGGGCAGGGGTGGCAAGATGCTGGCATTCTCCTCAAATCCCTGTTGAAATCCTCGCCCCCCAATGGGACAGTATGAGGAAACGGGGCCTTGGGGAGGAAATTACGTTATAAGGTCACAAGGGATAGTGCTCCCAGGATTAGCGCCCTTTTCAAGAAGACCCAGGAAAGTGCTTGCTTCTCTTCGTCTTCTCCTGTGAGGGAACCAGGAAAAGGCCCTCGCCAGAACCAGAACATACCGTCATTCTGACCCTGGGCTGCCCAGTCTCCAGAACTGTGAGAAATAAATGTTTACTGTTTAAGTCACACAGTCTGTGGTATTTGCATTATAGTAGCCCGAACTAAGATACCTGGCTTGCTTGGGTTCACCTTCCCTAGACTATGTTCTCTCTGTCAAAGAAGAACATTAAAATAAAATGGCACAGGGGGAGGGAGAGGGACAAGCAGACTCCCCGCTGAGCAGGGAGCCCAATGCGGGGCCTCGATCCCACAACCCTGAGACCATGACCTGAGCCGAAGTCAGATGCTTAACCGACTGAGCCACCCAGGAGCCAGAGAAGAACAATTTATTAATTATTTTATTAATCATATGTGGGCCCTGATAACTTCCTGACACAATTCTACCTGAATTTGGGGGGAAAGGATAAAGAAGACAGAATCCCTCAGTGTCACAGCTAGGATTTAACTGTTACCAAACAAGTCACTTATTCTTGAGGTGATGCTATTAACTAATTAATCCAATAACGCTAATCAGCTATATAGAAAGTGTAAACTTACAATTCTCTGAAGCGTAAATTCATAAATTTTCTTTCCAGCATTGGCTCTGAAGAATTTCCTGTACTCCCTACGTACCTTTAAAAAGAAGCAGCAGAATGTAGAGGTTAATGCGTGGCCGGCAGACGCCCATACGGATGATGCACCTCTATTAGAAATGAAAACAGGTGGAAGGAGTAAAATCTCTAAGTGATTTTCTGGATACAGTCAAATAATTGAAGCACATTAAGACAATGGATTTTAAATCAGAGAAAAAGAAATTAAGAGATGCAAAGTGATAATACCAGAGTGTTCTGATGTTTTAAATACTCTTAACTAGTTTTTAAAGAGCCTGATGATGTGACAAGAAACACTCTACAGACAGAGCTGCAAACTCATCACAAATCAAAATACATTTCAGAAAAAAAATTATCTAAGGTCATCTTCACAAAGATTGTTCTTAAAAGGTAAAAAAAATGCCTGAAGAACTCTTGCGGTTTCCAAAAGCCTTGCATCTGAAGACAGGACTTCGGTACTGCACACTGAGAACTAAATGTGCCTAAAAATAAGAATTTAAAAAGCAGCTTGTGAACGAACTACCATTATCTTCCATTTAATTGCATTAATATTTCTCTAATCTCTGCTCCTGCCAAAATTTCTACTAAGTACTATCACAGCACTTAGGACATCACATTACAGTTTTAGTTTCCCTATTTGCTCCTTGCTAACACTGTCACATTTACTTTGCATACTAATGTCTAACAAATAAAATAACTAGGTGAGGTGTTTACTGTTTGAATGAATGAATGGTACAGTTAAATCTTGAAACTAGGGGAAAATATTTAAAATATTTATTATCATCCAGCCATAAATGAGAACATTAGATTTCAGCAAAACATTAGCCTATTTGAATAATTCAGACATTATGTACCTTTGTCTTTTGTCTTTAGTTTTCTGGGTTTAACTGCACATGTTCAAAATATTTCTACATTAGGGCTTATAAGCTAGCCACCTACTAACCAAATTCAGTTTGTAGAAAAATGTTTTATTTGCCTATTTTTAAATTAAGAACTTCACATAGGAATTCAGACTGCATGTTTCTCTTGAAATTTTTCTAAGATCTAGCAACAGTGAGCCCCATTCCTACATAACGAGGCCTACGTGGGCCACAGGAGCTGTTGCTGTCTTTACGAGACAGGCATGCTCCAAACTCCTCGAGGCCCCACCATTCCTAATCCACCCGTCCTCTGCTGCTTCCCTCATCCATGTGACCTCCCCGGTCCCGTGGGGCAGATGAGCAGCAGACCCATTCTCTACACTTGTGGATTATTAAGGTCTAAAACGTTTCCCATCCATCATACAGGCAGTTTTTCCTTTTGCTCCTATTCTAGGTTACTGCTTATCGTTTTTTCTCTTAGCCAAGGAGCTCCTAGATTCAGAACCATTTCAAATCTCAAACTAATGAAGTTGGAAAGGACAAGGAGAAGAAAAATGAAAATTATTTATTGGCTCCTGGAATTTTAATAGTGTAGGAAAGCAGAGAAGGTAAAGTGAGATTTCATGTAAACACATCCATAGAAATACAGTGGAAATCCTACTGTTTAGTTGAATGTCACTGTGAGTTCACTGTAAC